CAGATAAATACAAAAATATTGCGAAAAGTCACATAGCTGGATATCCAAAACGATTGCAAACAATAATCGACAATGATGGTGATATAATTACCAAGTACAACTAACTTTTTTTATTTGTAATGTTTTTTGATGTGTTAAAAATAAAAATGGCCATGCTTTTTTGAACTCTCACGGTATGAACACAAAGTCTTTAGTATAAACTCGAACACACTTCGTTTTTATGATGAACGTCTTAAACGATTGCGATACAGTAGCATATCTGTTTTCTCTTCAAAACACTGCAGAAAGTTCTACACTTGACTGACTTGAAAAAAATCATTGTAAGTACACCTGACAAAAATCTGAAATGTTCAGACTGTTTTATTCGTACCCCAAATCATGCAACTAAAATTTCCTAATATACTGTTTCAAATTAGTTGAGATACATAACGTTTAGTACCTAATACAGCATCAAGCACAAAGACTGTAATTTGTCTCTAACTTATTTGAAAATCTTACATTTTTTTATATCATTCGATAGATCTCGATCAGAGGATTTGAATAGTGTGCGAACATTTCTATGGCTCATGCTCAAATCTCGAAAATGAGCCTCAATAGAAGAACAAAAAAAATTTAGTGGGAATTGAATTTTGAAAAGAGCAATATTTCCGAAACCGAACATAATGGATGATTCACATTTTAATTACTGATAAAGCTTCTTGTTTTCTATTGCCGATATAGAATTGAGATGAACCGAGCTCATCGTTCAGAAGTTATGGCGAAAACAGCTGTTAAAATGTCACTCTAACAAGTGAGTAAAATTGCTAATTTTCAAAAACTTTGGTCTCTTTCATTTAAACGAGAAAAGTAAAAAATGAACATCTTTGTGAGCCAGTCACTTAAACATTTGTTTTTCTTATTGTATTGTTTTCCCTTGTCCTCAGTCTCAACACCGTTTGCACTAGGAATTGTTTTATATCACTCTACACAAAAATGGAAAACTGTATGCTAAATAATATTCAGGTTCAAAGAGTGACTATTAGAAATAAGAACGAGAAATGAATTGAAGTTATCGATTGAATGTTGATCGCTCTACACACTGATGTTCTAATTATTCTTTTCCCCTTCTTCGTCGTGTCAGATTTTTTTCTGAGCACATTTGACCAAAAAGCGCTATTTTTTCGAGGTAACTTTCGTAATGCTCTATAGCAAGATCAGCTAGATAGATGAATTCCTACATGACACTCGTAGAAACTGAGTAGAGAAAAAGTTGAAAAAAACTTTTCTTATGCTTGATCGAGAGCAACGTTACAGGCAAAGTAATGCTAAAATTTCAATCGTACAATAAAGCTGCACTCCACTCATTTGAAACAATCGTACACTAAGAGTTGAACATCAGTAAATTCTCACTTTGTTCAAGGCTATGTATCATCAGTAGATTGGAAGCAACTTACTAATATAAACTAAGGTAGTGTTCGATAGCTATCATCAAAATGCTTATTCTTCATGTTTAGTGCCTTTCAAAAACAAAAATTTCTCACGGCCAATGTCAGGATTTTGCATATCTGCCATAATCTATGAAACAGCATGTATAAACATAACAAGTAGAACTTTTTCCACAATACCAAATTTAAGACTCAATCCCACATAATATATTGAAAAAAACCAGCACTTCAATGTAAAATTGTTGCATTCGTATTGATGAAGTATGTTACATTACCGTTTAATTATACGCATTGTTTTCGGACACTATTTTTCACTACTTCACAAAGCTACCAGAATGAGAACAACATTTTTATTCCTATTTTTAGTCATCATGTTTTAGTTTTTGAACTTTAGCTCCATTCAAATTTAATGAATTTATAATTTATGACTAGTGAAAAAAGTAAGTTTTGCGTTGAATCTTTCTGATATATTGTAGCTTCCTATCTTTGGTTTAAAACCATACGAAATCTCAAATATTTATATAAACATGAACGATCGAATGGAGGACAGAGACTAAAGCTGATACTCTATTTTTTATGCAAGTTTCGTAATTACCATCGCTTTTAGTTGAAGAATTTCCTTGAATTGTTGTATTGCCTACAAGTATTCCGTTACTACGAGTGGTTGTTTCACCTGGGCAATAAAAAGACATATAAAACATATATAAATCAGAAATGAAAACAAGCATACTTGAGACTGTGGTTGGATTATTGCCTTGTCGAGTAAAATATACTGCCAGAAAGACGATAATTGCTGCTATCACTATCAACAATATAAGTCCGAAAACACGTTTGATCCTATGAAGATAATGACATATTTTCAGTGACACGAGGAGAAGAAAAAGATATACAGAGATCCTGAAACCATAATCGATGAATGTGTGTTATGACGAATTCTCACTTGAACTAGTTAAAGGACGTCTCTTGTGAAATAAATTTGAAATCGATATCGAATTTATAAATTTAAGAAAGTTGTGTGAAGTCAATGCGTTAATAGCATAAAGATGAATGTAATGACAAGAACAGCATTCAATACACTAGAAACCCAAGAAAGAAAACATTGACGACTGCAGCAGCTTAGAATTAATGAACTAACGTCAAACTACTGACACTACCTTCGTGCCAACGGTGTTAATAAAGAAAAGTATCTCACTTTTAATTAACTTTGAGTAATTCCTACTGGAAGATTTCCTATTAGATGCATTCTTTAAATTAAATTAAAACTTCACCCATAGAAACGAAATCGCTTTAACTCTTTATCCTTCATTATTAAATCCACCAGAGCTGATGTTGAGTTGATGACGGTAATAGGTTGGATAAGTCCTCAACATGGCATTGATATAGTTGTATACGAGTGAAGTTATTTCACTATGGAGTTTCACCATGAATCAGAAATGACTGATTTATCTTGAATGACGCAAAAAATGAATGTTTTGCTAATTTGAATTTTCAATGGCTTTTCTCAACTGCATGTGTTACAGACTTATTGATTGGTCGAGCAGAGCTTTCTTTTGCATGCAAAGTTCAATAATCATCTTTATTTAAGACAACGCAAGCATTTATACAAGGAGGGAGAAAGAAGAGAGAAAAATAAGATGTTCATTCATTCGTTTATTTCCAGCTACACAGTAAAATATATTTGGAAAAAAAGATGATACTGTACCCCTGCTTTTCAAGTTGGAAATAACATCCTTTAAGCAGAATAGATCAAAGGATGAGAAAGAGAAACAGCAAAGAGAGGAAAATAAGAAAGAGGGGAAAAGAACATGAAAGGCAGAAGAGAAGAAAAATATTATATGTCACGGAAATCGAAACGATGAGCATGGAAACTTAAGCGCAGGAGCGATAAGCACAACTAAAATTAAAGTAAATATGAAGTCTGCTGAAAGGTCAATAAATAGTCATTATATTTAACAATACAAGTATTGACAAAAACCAATCGTTAATAAAAACAATTACAATGAAACATCGTGTGAAATTGAATTAATTTGAGTTAGAATATCTGAATAAAGTGTGAGAATAAGATTTAATAAACTATTGCCAAGGCGTTGATGTTTTTTATTGTTTTTCTGTGGTTGACCAGCATTTATTTATAAGATATAAGCATAAAAGCCTTTTCTTCGTCAATTAACGTGTGCAAGAATACCCATAGTGTTGAATGAGCACATTGAAAAACAGATACAATTCGATGATGATGAGCTTCAACCGGGATATTTGTTTTCATCAATGCTTGAGTTGTTCCATTGTGCATGTTCCACAAATTGACATCCAATGTAGCTTTTCTGCTTGTGTGATTTGGTTGCAGCCGTCCTAAAACAGATTTGTCAAAATATTGTTAAGTTTAGGAGAAAAGAAATCTTACCGATATAAGTCTCCTTGAAATAATCGATGGTTTCTTGATAATCTTCATCAAGGTCCATTGATGCATTTTCAAATTGATATCGATTTTGATATCCCAATCCATAAATTAAAAAAGAAGTGTGACATTGACATTGGTTCTTCATGATGAGTAATATAATACATGTTGTTTACGACGAAGATTTTGTCGTAGGTAAAAGTAACAGTCAGATAATACGATATTTGGAAAACGTTGTTCATAAACATTAATACAAGCTCTTTTGAAAACAATCATCATTGATTGAGGCGTCCATTGTGATGCAACCTTAAATATTTTATTGATTAGTCGACGATATATAACAGCATCTTTGCAACGTAATAATGCACATATGGCAGATACCACACAATCCCGATATATCACGTGTATAAGATATAATTGATAAAATACTTCAGAAACTATTTTAAATGTTCCATCAGCTAAACCACGATGGATAGGTTGAAGAATATTAAACTGTTCATCACCTATACTACTGTAGTAAACAACAAAAATGTATAATGTAACAAAAAATGTATTGAATGAAATACTTGGACCGGTGTCACAGCGTAAGAATTGAGTTTGGCGTAGAGCCTTGCATAAGACAATTGAGACTGATATAAAATCTGAATTGTTTGGTGATATTAGAAAATTATCATTAAAAAGCAATTTTTTTATTCGACGTTTCATATTATCTCGAGATGGTAAATGAGTGAATCCTTCATCAAACATACCTAACAGCAACGATAAAGAGATATTTGACTGTGGGTGAGAGTTAGATAAACAGTCATACTAACACTCGTTCCCACACCAACACTCTTTATTGCTGTGCAAACACTTTAAAGTATTCTTCACTTTCGAAGTGCTTGTTTTTACTGCAAGACAAAAAATCCATTGTGGATCACACCTTTTCTAAATATATCTAGAGTACTTCGTGAAAAAGTTATTTTATATACTTTGCATGGAAAGCTACCATCGAAAACGTATCACTAACACCACTTGAAATTCACGTAAAGAAAATTACTATTAAATCCGTGGTGATGGACCAAGGCATCTCGATGGTGTAACAATCAGCTCTGGATCATGGATTTTTTTGAATTTTCATAGCAGATCTGAAATTCTACTTTTTGCATTCTGTTGGAAGACAGAGATTCTACCTTCACAAACGATTATATACTCCCTCCTTCTCCCCACTGTTGGCTACGTCGGGCAATTATTGTCTTGCGTATTTGACAGTAAGTTACTTTAGGTATCCAGGACAGAAAAGTCAATTTAAGTGTTCGGCATGCAAGTACTGCTTAGTTGTTATTGCGCAATCTTCGTCTCGATCAATTTATTCGATAGTTTCATGCATATATGTTTGTATACCGACTTGGTCAAGTGATTTGTAAATCTATTTTTGGTTTCGGAGAAGTCGAAAAAAGTGAAGGATGTAACTCAAAAAGTTCAAATTTAACCTTGGGAAACGAAACAAGTAAAATTTCATACTATCAAGTACTATGTGAGTGTAAGCAATAAATGGTACGACCCATGTAAAAGTCAATGTCTAAAAAAATCACCATTAAATACTTCTTGCTTCATTAGGTAAAGTAGAAAAAGTCACTAATAGAACAGAAAGTACTTAATAGTAACATTTTTGGATCTTAACTTCTTACATGGGAAGCTTCATGAGATGTTCGTAAAAGCATTAGAAACGTCTTGTGAATTATGAAAAAGAGTTGAGTTATCTCCGAATAAATTCAGGTATGTCTTGCGTGTTCAAATGGAAGTACGTTCTTCTGTTTGCTTAGTCGTCCTTAAGAAATTCTCATTTATTTTCTTTTTTTTTCGAAAGTGGTTCAAACAGATAATCTGAATTTTCTTGTAAAATTGGATCTTGCATGGGCGGAAACACTTATTTCTAACCGATCAACATGGATCATAGAGGTCATTTTATTCGTCTCGATCAGTCGAATATTGATTGCCACCTGATGCCCCAAATGAATTAATTTTAGCGATCACAGCAGCTTGGTATTGAAAAGAGACTTTGTAAGTAATCTTCTAGGTTAAGAACTAGGACACCAGAAGAAATGTGCGAAAGATGCTGAATCACGTCTCTTATTTAATTATTAGATGACACATTTGGCTATCACTGTCTGTTTTCTCTCTCTCAATAATCGCAGGTGTCGACGGAGCATCTGCTTGATAAAAAAGCAGTCGTAGATGCTTTAGGTAAAAGATGCGATGGAAAAAATGTACAAAGGTAGAGAACCGCTCATGTTGGAGAAAGAATAGCAACAACGATGAACAAGAGGCACTGTAATGGTAACAGCACTAACGACCAAGGTGAAATTGGCCAGGCTTTTCGAAACGACTGTTACAGCTCCGACGTGCGTCTGGAATGATACGCAGTGGCTAACGACCATATCGAACAGCAATGATAGAGACGTAAGTTAGAGAATAATACTCGTTCTTTTGTCGATAATGTCAAGAAATATACAAATTATTTTTTAATTGAAAAAGATACATATACAGAGTATAATAGGTAGGACAATATGATAAGCAAATTTCGAAGTACAACTGGGGATATGAGTTGTGGTCGTTTTGACGAGAGCATCACACCAGTCTACTAGAATATTGTCGAGTGCTAAAGCCACTCGTGCTGGTATTCGTTGATTGACTGTGAAATAGAGTGAAATAGCGCAAGTACCTTGATGCAAAGGCACCGTTATCGTTTGCCATCCATGGCTATCATCATGTTCGATGAAAAACAATGATGCAGCATAACATCCTCCTGTCGATACATCTAACCAAGTACCATTGTCGATACCTGTTGATTTGAGATAGTATTGGAATTGAACACACATGTTCTCGCCGTCGATTTGATGGAATCTAGGTGTGTGGATGCGTCCATTGAATTCGGCACGTGGAGAATCGACAGGACGTGACCAGTAGAGAAACGAGTTGCCAGACCAAGGACCAAGATCTTCGAATAGAACTGTCTGAGCTGATCGAATGGTAAAATTGATAGGAGGTGGAACAGGATCAACAGGACTACCGTTCTCTATTCCACAGAATGAATTTGATTCAAAATTACACGAGAATACATGTGCTTCTGAGTACAAAATTATAACAGAGCACCACACGACAACAAGACCAGGAGTAGGTGAAGGCATTATAATGAGAAAGTTGAGAGTGAAGGAAGATAAGAGCTCCTCGTGCAGCAAATGAGAGCAGAACTACTATCGTAGCTAGATATGAAGCGAAAAAGTTATGCGCTATCTGAATGAAAAGAGAGAACAGAAGAATATTCATCGCCAAAGTGTTTGATTAGGCCGCTAATATACTTGGAATATCCGAAAACCGTTCGTTTTCTAAAAAATAAAAAAAGTCGAACTGGATCATTTTAAGAATTCGAATGCTAACGGCAACCAAATCCGTATCAGTATTAGTTCGACTGGTTCAATGTATTGACACAAATTGATTATTTGTGTGGATGTGGGGTGGGTATGGGTTAGTGCGTGTGTAGGTGTAGATGTTGAAGTACGTATGGGTGTGGGTGTGGGTGACGCAGCAGGTGTCGGTGTAAGTGACTTCTCTTCAAGCCCACACCCACACCCACACCCACCCACACCCACACCCACACCCACACCCACACCCACACCCCACACCCACACCCACACCCCACATCCTAAGAAGAAAAAGTAACTTTATAAACCGCTTGAACTTTTAAAGATTACTCACTTTTTTCTGGCGAACTTTTCATGCGCCTTGTATGTAGTTTTATCCACTACTGTCTATATGAATACACATGACTCCTGAATTCTTGTCTTGTTTCTCGAATGCCAAGCTATTAATCTCTAGAGAAATTCAATCGATTCCCAAAAGCTACCTGCAAAATTTCCATCTCTGTTTTCTATGGACAATATAAATCGTGTTTAGTTCCTTTTAACATACTAGCAACAACTTCTCAAACTCCTTGTCATTCTACTATGTAAATATTTTTTCAGTTACATTCGAACGAAGAATAATTAAGCACTGATATCTGTTGCACACTGAAAGTTGATTCGGAGTCTTAGAAATATGACACCGTATTCCAGTGGACTTTAAAGGTTTTTAATAATTGGCGCTTATCTGTTTATATAAGGAAACTTACATCATGAGATAAATTTTTGTGAGACGTGGCGTTACACCCTTATTCTCAATTGATAGTAATTATGTTAGACTTATTGCCAAAATTCAAGGAAGTTTAGGAGTGTGACTTCAAGACCAGAACCTAAATTCAATATGCCTTAAGGATCGTTTCGTAATTAAACTTTACCAATTGGATGAATATAGAGCACAACGAATGAAACGCTAAAAGCAAATAAAAATAGAATTGATACTCTTTGTATTAATCACCTATCTTCATAGATTCTAAAAATTAAAGAAGCTGATGAATATAAGCGATAAACAAGGAATAGAAGGGCGTTGAAGTCGAAAAAATAAAGCTCTACAAATAAACTTCAGATTTAGAACCCACATTTCAAGACTTGGAGTATTGTACATGCATATGAACGATAATAATGTATCTGAGGTCCGAATTAGCCCTTCGACCTACCTCTCTGAGACAGCTGCCAATGTGATAGACCACGTAGACTGTATGTTTGTATTGCATTTTCTTTTTAATTTTTAATAAAAGCTTTTTTTTTCAGTAGATATGCTTGTCAATAGATAAAAAATGATATTTTATCATTTTAAATTGAGATAAAAATGAAGGACAATAGCTTATGATTACATCACTCATTGTTTATTTATTTTTACCACCCATCTCACTTAGTTACTGCTTGTGGTTTTTAGTAGTTTTCTTTTGGAGTGGGATCTCTTTTTTCGACTGACTTCTATCTATATACTCGTAAAAATGGCTACTCACAATATGTCTTTTTCAACTAATTCGTCAAATCTATTCAAAGCGTTTTCAATCAAAACTAGGTTTTTTTTCTAAATAATAATGTTTTCTATTTGTCTATTCTCTTCAGATACATCTTATACTCACTCTAATTATGTTTCATTTAATTATCTCACTTCGATCTACATTGTTTCTTTGCTTTTGTGTAAAGATCGTCTTCAAATTTCTTTCATTTTCCACCATGGTACTATTCCATACAAAATGCACAGACCATAACAGGCATGTCGAACAAAACGGCATGTGGACAAAGAAGACTCGTAAATTATTATAGGAAGGACAGACCTATATCGCGTATATGGTGAGATCATTAGAACATAATTATATATGTTTATATTTGCATTTCGTAATTTTCTTTTTGAGATCGTATACCAGATCAAGTCACTTGAAAAGTAGCCCGTGATGATCTCTGTTATGCAGTGCAGCAAAAAAGAGTCCTATACTGTTTCGATATCTGTCGGAAAGCATCAGAACTCGAAGTGTGATTGAGACTATTTTGGACGAAACGAACGGAGACAGATTAGAGTCAAGTTTTTGAAAGTTTTCCGTCTAAAAACTTTGTTATGAAAGTGTCCATATACCATATAGAGAACATATATAGATGATAATTGGTATAAAGTTTTGTGACAAACGCATTAGATGGCATCATGTTTATTCCTTCCTTTCATTTTTTTTGTCTAAATACATCCAACAATGCTAGAAGACGAAATGGAGTGGCGAAACGGAACAAAATGTAGTGGAAGTGTAAAATCCTCCCCTTTCCTACCTCTGGCGAGTATATGTTTTCGATATTCAGAGAAAGAAGCTA